ATGCATTTGAGTATTAGAGAAGAATATTAAAGGTACTATGGACTGCCCGAAGAGCAAACAAATCTTTTGAAAAAAGTACTTCCAGAATACTCCTTAGAAGCCAAGATGGCCAGACTTCGTCTCTCATATACTTCAGACATATTTATCAGAAGGACATCATGCTAGGTAAAGTGGAAGATAAGTGAACAAGAGGGAGATCCCCAATGAGATGGATTGGCAGAGTGACAGCAGCAATGAGCTCAAGTGTAGGACTGGGTGGTGTTTTCGTTCTATTGTATGGAGGGCTGCTGTGGCTTGGAACTGACTCAACAGCACAAAATAAAAACATTACCTCAGGTTATCCAGAGTACATGAAAATGGGGGGAAAGGGAGATAATGTAATTTTCCACTAATTTTTCCTCATATTTTCTGTTGGTGCAAATATGGACTGGTTGGACATATTTCCCTGCTCTGGAGAATGGCATTGAAAGGAGCTTTGCTTTCGTCACCTATTGCCTTATCTGTAACATGGGTTCTGATCCCTCTAAAACAGGGCAGGGAATCTTTTTTCTGCCAAAATTTATGACATCATTCGTGACTCATACAAAATTATCAACTTGAAAATTAGCCTGCTTTATTTGGCCAAACATTTATTTAACTCACCCCTAATGTGATGTCTGAAACTGCTGTTTCCTTGGCAGGGCAAGACCAAATGATTTTATGATCCTTATACAACAATATGGTTTCATTTTAGGAGAAACTATACAGGGAGTCCTGGTGTAGCACTGTGGGTTGATGTGCTGGGCTGCTTGCTTGGCAGTTCAAACTCACCGTCCCCTCCTTGGAACCCCTATACAGGGTCACTATGAGTTGGAACCTTCTCGACGGCACTTACCAACAACAACAACATACGGCCTGTGGGCTGGACGTTCCCCACCTCTGCTTTAAAACATGCTTCCACCCAGTTGGAGATAATTTTCCCTGACAGAAATACAACAAAAGAATACAGGCATTGGGTATGCTGCAGCAGAGCTTCGAAGACCTTTTTGGTTGTTTAACATTTTTTCACAATCCTCAACTCATTCTGACTATTACTTCCTGTCATTCCCCTTTATGTTGTCAGTTCTGTATTCATTCTTCTGTCTTTCAGCATGGCTCTTGTAAAGCTCAGAGTGATCAGAGAGCATCAGTGTGCAGCCAGATGGACTCAGTGAGAGCTCCCTTTTCTCACTCATTTAAATCATGTGTGATTAGAATTCAGTGTTTTTTACTTGTCCTTTTTTCTTAGAGTTTTGGCCTTGGAAGACATTTGCATTCTATAACCTGAGGACACATATTGGATAATGTGTTTTTTCCCCCATGGATTGCCCTTTACAATGACAGTCACTTTTATCTGAGGTTACTGTCACTTAATGAACTGGTTCCTGACTGGTTTGAATGAAGTCCAGTTATGGTTTTGATTGTCACCATTCTTATAGGTTGTCAGCAGAGTAAGTTGGGACTCTGGTATGATGTGGAATTCATTTCTGTACATCAGTCATTTCCCAAACCTGGAAACCAAGGGTCTTGAACTATACTCGGCTTCAGTCACCATATGTTGCAGGTCATCTGATTTAATCTGAATGGTATTTGACCCCATTCTAGAGTTAGACTAAGGATGCTTGCCACCTGTTTCTCTCCTTTTGAATGACAGGATTAATGAATTACTCTCTGTGAAGTGTTTATACCTATGTAAATAGGGCCTAATATACATAAGTAATTTTGAAACCCTTTTCAAGAGTGAGTGGCAGTGGTCACTAGAGTGTCCTGCCCATACAGGCCTTAAGAAACCTACAGCCTTTGGGAAGTCATGATGGGTGTCTGGGGAGTACTTACAGTGTCATCTGGAGTTCTGTGCAGGAGGTCTTCTAAAATCTGAGGGTCTCAGACCGCCAAAAGGAAAATTTCCTGCTGATTTAAACCCCTTTGGGGTTTTCAGATCTGTATCTAATGCATTTGCAGCTGTTCTGCAACTGCTAATGACTCCCTTAGCCTCAGCTGGCCAGCCAGCAACAGGCTACCATCGATCTTTGTACAAGGTGTTTGTTTATAATTCATAGAACTGATAGGAAGACCGCACCATCTGCTTCTCTAGGCATCAGTGTTTCTAGCCCCTCCCATTCCCTACTAGGGCATTCTCAATTGGAAATTATTTCTAATTAGGAGGCGATTACATGGCAGAGTCTGGAACATGGCTTCCTGCAGGCTCCTGCATCCTGAAGCTCGGGAGCAGTTTTGATCAGAAAAACCTTTATTTTTTTCCCTTTATTTTCATTCTTAGCTGCCTAGATGGCTGCTCCATCATCTTTCCCCCAGTGTGTTTTGCCTTTAGAGGGGAGAGGACAGGTTGCAGGAGCTACAGCTTAAGGACCAAGGACCATTTTGAAAACTTGTTAGAAATGTACATTCTTAAGCCCTGCCCAGAAATTTGCGTTTAATAAGCTGTCCAGGTGATTCTGATGGTTTAGGAACCTCTAGGGTAAGACTGGAGTCCTGGTGTGATGATAAAGCATAAGCATTGGACTGCTGACTGCAAGATCAGTGATTCAAACCCACCACATGCTCCTTGGAAATCCTATACAGGGTCGCTATGAGTCAGAACTGATTTGACGGAACTCAACAACAACAAGAAGTTAAGGCAAGCCTTAGAGCTGAACAAAGATTTTTAATGGTTTGTCGATTGCCACTGGGTCTTAACTGTACGTATTTCATTTCACCTTTTTGTTTGCATACTTTATGATTGTATCCAAAAAGCATGAGTTACCCATGGCCATTAGTACATTAATTTTCTATGATCCAAGAAAACAAGTACTAAGATCCAAGTAATCGCTCCTTATATACATCAGCGCATGAGAATTTCAGTCTTAAGCGGAAAGCCGCACAAGTGCATTAAAACTATAGCTACTTATCATTGGAGCTGAGCATCGCCATTCCACATGGGAAATTAATAGACAGCAAGCAGTAAATGTAAGCTGTTAATTGAAACTCTGAAATATAAATGAAACTGTAAACACATGACCCCGTGTTCCCTGGCACGTCCCCTGCCTTAGGGCAGAAGTGAGGACCAGGATCACTAACTGCAACATTTGGAAACGGAATCTGCTGCTGGAGAAGTTCTTATTTTCAGCAGTTCCTTTTCATTTTCCATTTGCATGTCACACTCCATTCTCTGCAGTAACTGACCATAGTTGTAAAATTGGAGGGTGGGGCAATGTTTGGGCCACTGACATGAATCGTATGGATTTCACGCTGACAAAATGCTTGTTGTCTACACGCCCAGATATTTTAGAGGCTCATAGCCAAACTAGAAACCCTGGTAGAGCGTTAAGTGCTTCGCTGCTGACTTACAGGTCGGCAGTTTGTACCCACTGGTGGTTCTGAGGAAGAAAGATGTGGCGGCCGGCTTTCATAAAGATTAAGCTTACAAGACAGTTCTGCTTTAGCCTTTAGGGGTGCTTTGAGTTAGGGTTGACTCTACAGCACTGTGTGTGGTTTAGGGATTTTTTTAATGCCCAACCATGCAGAAGAGAGAGCCTTACAACCCTCTTCCCCATGGCAGTAAGCAGTTAAATGCTTTTTTGATGTTGGTGGTGAGTTTTGAGGGCCATTATAGACTTGATCTTGACTGACTTACATGTGAACATCCATGAGCTAGATCTGTGTGGCTGCAAGGTGAAAAGGCCCAAGATCTACAGAGTTCCATCCCATTCCTTCTTTGTTTTCATGTCCTACTTAGAATTTATCATTTTTTAACCTTTTCTCCTGGCCTTTGGTGGTTACAATATAAATTGCCAATCTCTTTTTGTCTGTCTAAGGTTTGTGCCAACTTAGAAGGTAAAAACCAAGGTAAGCTCATTCCTGAAGCTGATTCATATACCCAATTCCTTTGATTCTGTATCCTTACCTGGAATCATATGTCAAATCCAGGAAAAGATGAGGAGACTGAAGCCTATTTTTTGTTTGTCATGGTTTTTTTGGCAGAGAGCTTGGGACCCTGAGAAAGGAGCAGACGGTCCCAGTGCTAACTAGATCGATGTAGTCATCCATCCTAGAGCAGATGGCAGGATGGAAGTTGAGCAGTGCAGAGGCCTAATGGTGATAGCAATCAGTATTTGGATGTCATTATTTTATTAGTTAGCAAACAGAACCATCCTTCTGGTTCCCCTCGGTTTCATGCGTAATGGTGCTGTAGGTGTCAGCCCTCAAGAGTTGGCACAAGAGCCCAATCAATGCGTTCTGATGTCTTTTTGGATCTCCTCTGTCATCTTTGTGGTTTCATTAGCAACACACAGGGAAATGGGAAGTGAAGACAGTTTTTTTTTTACCCCCATCACTCTGACTTCCCAACCCCATAAGCCTCCTCTCAAGGGCAATTCATTGTTTTCTTAAGGTCATTTCCTGGGGAAACTTACCCTTGACCTCCCAAGTCCTGTCTTTTGGCTTACTGGGAGAGCAGTTGAGCTTGGGGTTTTTTTTGGTACCACCGTAGCTGGCAGTGTCCATCTAAGTAATTTTCTTAAATGTGAAAGTAAGACACACATTTGTGAAAGGACCTTCTTCTCCAAGGTCACATAGCAGGTATAGAGTGTGAGATTCCGCCATCAAGCACGTTCTACCTGTATCACCTTTTTCTTGGAATTGGTGGGTTTGCATTTCATTCATCTTGGTTTTCATCTTTTGGGCGATCACAGCTGTTGAGTGACTCTCCAGGAACAATTTTTCAAAGCTTTTCCCTTATCCAATCTCTCAGATGATGTTTTCTGAGTGTGAACTATGACTCAGTGGGTGGTTGTAGTTGTGAAGCTCCCTATTGAAGTGGTGCAAGAGACAGAGCTTTCCTTCCTCTTGTGTTGTAGTTTGATTGACATGGCTGCCTTTGGCATCTCTTGAAATAAGGGTTCAGGCCTTTAGGATGGTCCCAGAGTTTCTCATAATATCAACTTAAACTTTCCTATCTTCTTTTCTTTCTTTGTTCATTGCAGCCTCCGTGAATGTGCTGGTACAAAACTGCAAGATCTACAATGATGCCAGCTGTGACATTTCTGCAGACGGCCAGCTTCTGGCAGCTTTCATCCCGAGCAGCCAAAGGGGCTTTCCTGACGAAGGCATCCTGGCAGTCTACTCCCTGGCTCCTCATAACCTGGGTGAAATGCTCTACACCAAGCGATTTGGTAAGGGATAGGAGCCCTACCTAGTGACAGGGAGACACTGGTGCTTTAGCATGGCCATCCCTAGGTGAGGCCTGACTTAGGTGGAATTCATGGTCATATACAGCCTCTGGCTTCAGGGGATGATTCTTCTGCAGGAGCCCTGGCTGGTGGCCTTGGAGAAGAAGCTCAGAATAAGGGTTCTTCCTACCACAGGTGCATTGCCAGCTTACTCCTGGTGTGATAGCCAGGAGCAAAGGAGGCACTTTAATCATGGCCTGGGGAAGTGGACGTACTCCTGTTCTTCAAGGCAGCTTGACGTAGTATAGTATATGCCCTCAAAATGTGTGTGCTCTGTGGTCTAGCAGTCTCACTTCTAAGATTGCAATTATCAGAAACAGTACAAAGATTTCTATACAAGATCTTCACAGTCATATTTATAATAGGGAGAAAAGTCAGGTTGTAAAGAGTTGCTTAAATAAGGGATGGTACAGTCATAGGACAGAATAACATTTAGCCCTTAAAATGTTATTGTAGAAGACTGTTTAATGATGGAAATAGTTCAGGATATATTAAGTGAAAAAAGTAGAATTAAAAATAGTTATAACAGTCCTCACTACAGTCCTCTGAGTGCAACTCCAGTATGACCAGAAGACTGGAGGACAAGAGAAAAGACTGAGTGAAAATTCTTTCTTTGAAATGACAATAACTATGGGAAGTATCTCTTGTTTCTATTGACCCTCAGGTCCCAACGCCATTTCCGTGAGCCTGTCCCCGATGGGCCGATATGTAATGGTGGGTTTGGCCTCAAGAAGAATCCTGTTGCACCCCTCCACAGAGCACATGGTGGCCCAGGTCTTCAGGCTGCAACAAGCTCATGGTGGCGAGACCTCCATGAGGGTGAGTACCACCACTGCTTGTGCCTCTGCTGTTTGGAGATTCTTCTAGGTTCGCCAGGGTCAGAGGAAGAAGGAAGAACTCCAGTCCAGCCCGTCTGTGACCAGCAGACTATTAAATGGCAAGGTTTCTTACGGTTTGGATTATGATCTGGTTTCCACTGAGGTCTGAAAGTATCTTTGGCTAAAGAATTAACTGGACACTTCTTAAGCTCAATGTGAATCCTATATTCTAGAGATTACATAAAGGAGCCCATGAAATATGAAAAGTAATCAAGAGTGTACCATGAAATGCTCTCTTTTCTGCGTTGTAATCCTGATGGACAATGCCTTTGGGCAACAGCTGTGCTCTTACTCGGCCCGTCTGTGTCACCAGCAGAGAAAAGGACCCTCTCTATCTAAGGCATGCCTTTCTTCTGTTGCCATGAAAGCCATCTGGGGTTCATGTAGTTAGCGGCCTTCTGGACTCAGTCAGACTAGCATTCCTGACTGAGCTCTCTGCATCTCGCGGGGGCTTACTTGGCCAGGGTTTTGTTAAGGGGAGTTGAGCATCTGAACAGTCTCTAATTAGATGGTATTTAGGCTCTGTCTCATGCTAAGAACCTGTGAATTCCCTTAATACTTTGTGTATAGTTAGTGCCATTTATAGTTTGATGCCCTTGTTTATATGTTCTCTTCTGTTTTCTGTGTCTTCTGTATGTTTAATCCACCCCAATTAGGTTCACTGTAAGCCCTTTAGGAGTATATTCCCCATGGTACTTCATTTGATGCTATACATGTAGCTGTTAGTTAAGTGCCTGGAATGGGAAGGAATTGTTTTCAAGAGAAATCTCAAAATAAGATCCATTATATGCGAAGTGATAGAAGAAGGTGGGTGGCCTGGTGACGTCTTGCCTCTCCTGTCTTTTCTTCCCCCCTATCTGCTACAGGTACCCTCTCTCCAACTACACTGAATCAATCCCCAAGCTCTGAATTTGACAAGGCTCTTTTATGCCAACGTGCCTTTACCTAGAATGCCCTCTCCCCACCTACCTGTCAGTCTCTTTTTTCCCCTTTTGTGAAACCGTCCTTCCCAGAATTCAGATTTGATGGCTCCCGCCTTGTGGTATCCCTGTAGCTGGCACATATTAACACTGAGCACACTCACTGCAATGATTTGTTTCAGTGTCGATCTCCTCTCCTGGACTGTGAGCTCCACGAGAGCAGACACACCTCGTCTGTGTTCTCTTTATGAAGTCCAAGCTCCTAATCGGTAACCTGGCAGTTATTATAAACCAGATGACTGAAAATCTCTAGAAAAGTAGCCTCATCATTTCTGGGTGGTAACTGGTAGAACCGGTGATGGTGGCATCATGTCTCAGCAAGCCTTTGAAAGGGCATTCTCAGCTCTTGACATTGCAGTGACAGAAAAGGTCTGATTCTTGAATTCTGTATGGTTCTGAAAATTTTAGACATTGGGTGATTGGGAGATTTAGTGGGAGTTCATCCTGTCTGTTTTCTTATCCAGACATTTGAGGGTGGGGATTGAGTCTTAGTTTAAATATTCTTATTTTAAGCAGATAAAAGTACCAGGTGTCTGTGTTTCACCACCTAGAAATCCTGGACCCAACAGCTGTTCTTCTAACCCTTCCTGCCTAATTGTGGACTAATTGTTTATAATCATTAAGAGGCAGGATCTGATTGCGGCAACACTAATGGACATCTCCAGCCTTTTCCGGAAGCCAGGGCTTCTGCCCAACTCCTAGGCATGGCCTGCCAGTCCTCCATCCTAGCAAGGTTCTTCTTTTCCTTAAGTAACCAGAAACATCTGGCTAAGAGCAGACAACTACAGAGCGGAAGCCAAGATGGTGGGATCTGTTGTCACATAAGGGATTGAATACAGTCTGAGAAGTCTGCTAAGGAAATGTGCTAATCCAATTAGTCCATGACTGTCTTGATAAGGGGCTCAAAACAACTAACCAGCTGCCTGGAGCCTCATGGAGCTATTTCTCAGACCTCCCAAGGAAGCTTTTTTGATTCCTGGTAGGTACCATTTGCTGTTTACAAGAAGGAACTTGAGTAACTAGAATGCTTCTGTTCTGTCGCTCACCCAAGAGACAGGATCGAGGCATCTCAACAAGGGTTTGCTTGTCCACCTACGCTGACTTTAAAGCCCTCAACTTCAGGAAGGTTTTTGATTTTCCAGGTCTTGGTTGTTGTCTACATGTAAAGGCACCAATGTCCCTGAATTCAGTCATTGGTGGAAGGGGGCGACACCAGCTCCTTTGGACAGCTGTGCTGTACCACCATTTAAGGCAAGAAGTCCATTTTTGTTTGAGAACAGGGAGTGGGGGTTTAATCTCTCTCGGTGTAGTTGGGGTCTCCATCTATAATGTCCAGCTGTGTCCTTGAAGAAATTCTTTCATGGGGAATAGAAGTATCTCAGTGCTTCTCTCCTGGAATTCCCCTTCTCTTTGGTGTTGCCTCTTGCTATTCACTGTAGCAATAACCAGAAGGTGAACCTGTTGGACCAACAGATATTCCCGAGAGAACATTCTCCAGAGCATTGATTTATCTTATTTTAATTCCCACCAAGTGACATCTCTCCCCAAACAATCCCACACGAAACTCATCTGAAAATGAATTGCTGTTAGGGTTGGCTCTTTTATCCCGAGCAGTTCTTCAGACCTCTGGATTATTGCTTCTCCAACTCTGGTCCTTGGACCACCTGCATTAGAGCTACATGGAGTCCTTGTTAACATGCAGTTTCTTCTTTGGGCCTGACATCACAATGGGAATTGGGGCACAAGGGACCCAGGTATTTCTGGTTTTAAAACAAGCTTTCCAGATGATGCTGATAGCTCTTGAGTTTGAGAATTGCTTTCCTTCATTATAGGTTTCTGCCCTCAGCCTGATCAGTGAGGCAGAGTATCGGTCTCAGGCTTACTTAGCGCTGCGTTTTTACGTGTGGGTTTGTTTCTTGCAGGCATACAGAGGCTCTTGTGTTGTATTTCCCACCAGCTTTGGGGTGTTGGTGCTGCACCTTCCCATCTTTTGTCAGCTATTGCACTTTTTCAGGTGTCTCCCTTGAGGAAACCCTACATGTGCTAGGTTCTTCCCCATGGAGTCATTTTTGTCCTTGTTTTAGACTCTAGGGTCCTTTTGATATTTCCCTTCTCAGCTTACTGACGTTGGTGTCAGTCCGTCCAGTTATAATGATTGGCAAATCCGGAAAATAAGGACTGGGTACATATTTTACCCTCCCCTGCCCTCCCCTCTTCCAGCTGGATATGATGCTACTTGCTGTGACTCAGAATTGTATTTTCTATCCGTCTGACTCCCTTAAACTTGAGCTGTTGAGGGCTTTTTATTAATTTTGTTTTTTTAAGTTAGGCTTTTAGAGACTGCTGAGCTCAAGTTTTGCTGAATTCTCAAAACACTGAACTTGCTGTGTTCCCTCTGCTTCATTTTCTAATTGGAACAAGGCACAATATTATAACAGAAAACTGCAATTAATTATCTAAAATAGTGGCAACTTGCACATTTAAAAAACTTTGGTTGTAACCAAGTGAAAGCATAACAACAAAAATATAGAATTACTAATGAAACCAGAAATAGTGATCATGCCAAACTCTTCTTCCAGTTTGAGTCAGCAGTCAGTGCTGCGATACCTAGGAATGGGCCAAAAGTTAGCATTTAATGGTGCTGATGGTTAGTGGGCTTGCCTAGGGCATTTGAGCTAGAAAGCAAGATTAAAGATTTCAACACAGGTGTATAGTCTTTCCCCCAGGCTATGTATAGCCATTGCCCCCCAGGTGAGGGTTGTAGGTACACATTACGTGTCTTAATAAGAACAAACAGGTGTCCTTATTACATCATCTCCTCAGATCCGAGAGGCACCAGAAGCTTGTGTCTCACCAGCGCTTGTTTGCTTTTTTCTCTGGTCATTTGACTGGCAAAAGTGATGAACCCGAACATCACTTGAGCTGGGGTGGTGAAGGAGCTCTAGGACAGAAAGTTTTTTTGCTTCTGTCTCTTCTGGAATAGAATTGTGCACTTTATGGCAAAGCCTCAAGTACTTAAGGGCCCCTTTTATTTGAAAGCTTTTTCTTTGTGGCAGTGTGGTAAAACTGTATTCAAGGTTGACTACTAATCGGGAGGCGGTGGGGTGGAAAGCGAGCACACAAGGCTGATGCTTTACTCCTTTGGGACCTAGGGAGTCCTGCCTGCTGTTTTGTGGTGGACTGTCCTGGGTACATCTGAGGAGGAACATTGGGGGCCCTGGTCCAGGCAGCTCTACCTCTAAAAACATCCCCTCATGCTAGGCAGCAGGGAAGGAAAGCAGCTTGTCACTAGTTTTTACAGACCCAAGGTGTGGCGCTGTGGGTTAATGTGCCAGACTACAAATCCATTTGAACTGCAAGGTTGGTGGTTCAAGCTCACTAGCTGCTCGTCGGAAATCCTATACAGGATCACTATGGGTTGGAACCGACTCGGTGGCACTTAACAACAACAACAAACCTGCCAGGGCAGTAGTTCTCAAAGTGTAGTTCCCAGGGGCCAATCATTCTCACTGGAATGCAGATTCTCAGCCCCACACTCCCAACCTCCCACCACTGCCCAGACCTGCTAAATCAAAACTCTGGGGCTAGAGCCTGGCCTCCGTGTGTTAAGGAGCCCTCCAGGTGACTCTGCACACTAAGTTTGAGAACCAGGGGTTGATGGCACAGGGAATCTAGGTAAAACTCACCTGTCCATCTAGCTTTGTCGTTTGCCTTTAAGTCCCGTGCTCCCTCGTAACTATCTGTGAGACATAAACCGAATTGTATGACTCCTATGATAAGATCTTTCAGATATTCCTGGAATTTGAAAAATTGATGGCACCTTGTGCCCCAAGCTTTCCTGGCTCATGTCATGATAGTGCCTAGAGAATCTTAAGGACTAATGCTGTGAGGCTTTGCTCAACGTCTCACTAAAATTCCTGCCTGCCTGCCTTGATTCCTCTCAGGCTCTTCCCTGGGAACC